AGTGGCATCGATTCACTCCATCCTGGGATAAGGAGAAGACCGATGTCACCGTGATTTGATACCAGAATAAATTGTTCTGAGGTAACTTAGTATTGGCATAGAGATGATATCTGCTCACTCCTCTATCCTGGGATAGGGAGGAGACAGATGTAACTTGTACTGGAATAAATTTTCCTGGGGTACTTGACTGTGGCTGTAGCTGTGACATCTGTTCACTCCGCTCCCCTGGGGATTAGAAAAAATTAGACTAGAATAAATTTTCCCCCCAGGTAACTTAGTTTGGGTGTAGTTGTGACATCTGTTCACTGTATCCTGAGATAAAGAGGAGACAGATGTAAGTGGGATAAATGATGGCAGGTAATTTAGTATCAGTGTAACTGTTACATCTGTCTGTTGTTGTCCTGGGATAAGCGGATATGATGGAAATAAAACAGATGTTAAATTCAAGCCATTTATCCTGGGATAAGAGGGAACAGGTGTAAATGTTTTGCCAGAATAAATTAAAACATGGTCAATCTGTCCTTTTCTCTATCTTGGAATATGAGGGCAAACATGGGAGGGGACAGGTATAACTACTGATAAATTGAACCAGGAATAAATTAAAGCAGGGTAATTTACTATCAGTGTAGCTCTGTAGTTTATTCCTCTATCCTGGGGTAAAGAGGAAACAGATATAACCATGGTACTGGAATAATTTATCCCAGGATAATTTAGTGTGGGTGTAGCAATGACATCTATTTATGCTCAATCTTGGGATAAGGAGTGGAGAGATGGAACCATTAGACTAGAATAAGTTATCCCGGGGTAACTAGTGTTGGTGTCACTGCTGTTTGTTTAGGCCCAGAGAGAGAGGTGGATGCGTGTGGCAGCTGTGAATGCGCGCACACACTCAGAACCCAGGTATCCGGGGGACACAAACAGAACCCAGGCACCTGGGACACACACATGCACACAAAGCCTGGGCGTCTGGGACACGTGCGTGTGCAAGCCAAGCCCCAGTTGTCCAGGATGCACACACGTGCGCAGACAAATGGAACGCAGGCATCCCAGATGTATGCTTGTATGTGTGTGTGTGTACACATGTTCCTGTATCCAGGATGTCTGTGTTCCATGTGTCTGCACATGTGTGTGAATCCCGGACACCTGGGGTTTGGATTCCACACACAAGTGTCCCAGATGCCTGGTTGAGCACACGTGCGTGTCCCAGATGCCCGGGTTCTGTGCGTGTTGTGTGCCTGGGTACCTGGGTTCTGTTTGTGTGCCCTGGATACCCAGGTGCTGTGTGCATGTGTACATCCCAGACACTTGGGTCCTGCATCCGGGACACGCACACCCACAACCCAGGTGTCCGGGACACTTGCATACAGAACCCAAGTGTCCGGGACACACCACACAGAACCCAGGTATCTAGGACACACACACGTGCACGCAGAACCCAGGTGTCCAGGACACATGCATGCACACAGAACCCAGGTATGTGTCCATGCATGCATGTCCCGGATACCCAGGTGCTGTGTGGATGCATGTGTCCCGGACACCTGGGCTGTGTGTGCGTCCCAGACGCTTGGGTTCTATGTGTGTGCGTGCATGCTGGATGCAGAACCCAAGCATCTGGGATACACATGCACACAGCACCTGGATATCCGGGACACATGCAAGCAAGAGCCCAGCTGTGCAACACACACGTGCAGACACACATGCACGAACCCACATTTCTAGGACACACACCCCTGTAACCCTGCCTCCTCTCCCCTCAGGGCGGGCCGGCCAGACCCCCATGCACTGCTGGGCCTAAAGCCGGGGGCGACACAGGAGCAGATCAAGGAGGCATTCCT